TGGCCTGGAGCAGCGAACCACGGCCACTGGGAGCCGCGATCGGCCGAACGTGCGGACACGGCAGGTAAACACACCGTCCCGGCCCGCCAGGGGCTTTCCCCGCACAAGCAGCGGAACATGTTTGGGAACCACTGCTATAAGCAATTCTTCTGACAAACATAAGATGTTGCAGTTTGTTCTGTATTCCTTAACCTTCCATGCCCTGGTAGTATAAGGTAAGCTTATATTTTACCAAAATGGGAACATAGAAATGGAAATCCAGTATCTTCCTCCATATCCATTTGAACTTTATATAAGTATGGTATTCTAAATGGCTTCCAGGGTTTTGACACATGACTTTTCTCTGCAAAAAGGTTGTTCAAGCCATTCCATTAGTGAACCTTTTGTGTGTTAGCAAAATGCCACTCCATCTAACCTTAACAAAATCCAGTGGCAGCCTGCTCCATTCTTTGAATTGAATTAAAAGCAACTAGTTGTTAGGATCAGTGATGATATGACATAATTATTAAAGTGAAATAAAGAGGTCTCAAAGATATACTCTATGTGTAACTCAAAGTATCGCATTTGTTGTCCTTATGGAAAAATATCTTCTGAGTTGTCAATTACATTATCCTTTAATCAATATTATTCATGTTCCATAATAATGCTATACCAGTGTGGTGACTTGGAATTTAGTAGGTTTTTTTTTTTTTTAAAAAAAAGCAAACCCCAACAACCTAAGGTTAATTAACTGAATAGTAAGACACTTAACTTTATACAAGTTTAGTTTAACAAGAATTGAATACATATTTAAACATTCTTCTTTTATATTCTTAAGGCTTGCTTCCATATCAGCACAGATGATTAGGACAGTTCCTATTACTGTGTGCTCAATCCTGCAAGGTGCTGTGCACTCTGGCCCCAATCTAGAACAGCACTTGAGCACATGCTTAACTTTAAATCTTGAAGTCTCAATGGGACTATGCGCATGCATAAAATTAAGAAGTGCATAAGTGCTCTGCTGGGTTGGGACCAGAGTGTTCAGCAGCAGTGTCATTTGCTATTGAGCAAAGGGGGCAGTTCCCCTGCCCCCCCCCCCCGAATTTCATTTTCTCCTTCCACAGACTTTTCATAGATCCATATACTCCATTAGGTTTTCCACTTTTTGCTCCCTCCCTTCCTCCCTCCTAGACTTTGGATGCAATCCTTAGGAAAGCAGTAATTACCTAGCTTTTCTCATTTGTGGTGCTGTTTGGGACATAGAATGTTCTGTGTTGCTGCCATAACTGTGCCCCATCACCCAGAATTTTTCTGAAATTAGACCCCCCTACTCAGCACCTTGCACAATCAAGCCCCATATGCACTAGTTGTACAGTGCCAAAAACTCCCATGGCCCCATATCCATTCCATGGATGAAATCCTGACCCTCTTTAATCGATGAAGCCAATGAGATTTGTGCCAATGGAAACAGGATGTCACCCCTTATGCACTTTCCTGAGTGTTTGTGCATAATGTGTAGGCATTAAACATTTATTCCTCTTAAACACACTATGCAAAATTTGAGCTTACTACATTATTTTCCTATTTTGCGGGGGGAACAACCAACAAGTGTAGAATTAAATAAACTCTTTGGTAAATATTTCAGAGGGAAATTAGGCTGAGAGTCTCCCAGTAGTGATCTGACTGTGTAAAAAAGAGGGTAAATCCAACGAGAGTTAATTTGATGGGGAATCTGGAACACTAGTATGACAATAACTTGTACCTTCCCCACCAGAAGTTGGTCCGATAAAATATATTACCTTTCCTGCCTTGTCTCTCTAATAACAATCATAATAATTTTATTCTTTTTATGTAGTGTTTGTATATTAGACCTAAACACTCTAACATCGTGTGTGATAAAGCATTTTAATTCGTGTCCCATGCTTGGCCAAACAGTAGAAAAAGTGAATATACTCATGGAACTTTAGAGGCAAGTACAGTATAGTTGCCTGAGCATGTTGAGCTATTAGCCCAAATTAGGGTTGGCAACTCTGACTGAAACTATTAAGGGAGATATTTTTTTCCAACATGACACAATAGGATATTTTAAGAAAATGACATTAAAATCTCCTGGATTGCTTTCAGTCGTCACTGGGAGATCTATGCCAATTCCAGGAGACTCCAGGTCAATTCTGGAGGGTTGACAACCCTAGCCGAAATTGCTGTGTGCAGGGGCTGAGATTACTATACCAGTGCATAGGTTAGAATGACAACAATGGAGAAATGGTTTCAGCCCCATGGCCTGTAAGGTTCTTACCCTCCCAATTTCCTGCACAAAACATGATTATTTTGAGCAAGAATGATTTTCCCCTAATAACACTCCTAGGGAGACAATATGGACTGGTGGCTAGGGCACTGGATAGGAGTAAGGAGACAACGTCTTTATTCTTGGCTCTTTGCTGGCTAGTATGTATGACATTGGGTAAGTCATCTTACCTCATCTTACCGTCTTACTTTCCACTTCTCTAAAATTGGGAAAGTAATGCCTCCTCTGAAAAGCATTTTGAGACATTTAAATGAAAATTGCTATATAAAAGCTCGGTATAATTATAGTTTGCAGTATTGTTGAAATCATGTTGGCCTCATGATATGGGAGAGACAAGGTGGGTGAGGTAATATCTTTTATTGGACCAACTTCTGTTGGTGAAAAGACACAAGCCTTCAAGCTCCACAGAGTTGGTGTGACCTGAAAATGAGCTTTGTGGAGCTCAAAAGCTTGTCTCTTTCACCAAAAGAAGTTGGTCCAATATTACCTTACCCGCCATCTCTCTCTGTATAATTATAATAATTTACAATATAATGGATTCCATCTTACAGTGTAAGTGAAAATCTGTTGCATGGAATATTTTTTAATTATTTTAACTTCTCAAGGTTTGAACTGCTGTTCTGACTTTGTGCGTAGACTAATGCTTTATTTGAAATTTCTTTTAAGATCATTTCCACCTTCTTAAGAGATTTTGACTTAGTTTGTGCAGTCACTGCACAATAGTTGCATTATCATAAATTAGTCTGTTTGTCAAATGTAAAACTGATTTTCATTTCCTTAGGGCTCTCTGCTGCATCTACTCTAGCATCTTGCCTGTCAATCATATGATTTTCTGTCATATGGATGCCAGTTGACATGTCTGTCAGCCATATCAATTCTTACAAATATTCCAGGTTAAAGGAAATCTGATTCAGTTTTATGAAACACTGTAGGAGAAAGGAATATTTGGTTAAATCATAATGCTAGCTCCCACACATTTTAAAATGGAAATCTTTTGTCTTGGATATTTCCAATTTTCAGACACATTGTGCGACAATTATTTCACATTGTTTGTTTCCTAGAGATCTGTCACTTGCTTTTGAATGAGTCATTTCCCCACAGTTTTATTGATTTGATTGCCTTGAAGCTTAAAAGTGATTTAGGAGGAAAAATGCTCTTTGCAGTGTGCCAGAGGAATTTGGACCCCAGCTGGGAATAATGGAGAACTGAAACTCACACCTGAATTATATCATAATATATGGAAGTTCCATACTATACACTGTATGACATATAGAGTATTGACCATGCACCAAGAGTGTAATTCACTCATCTTGCATAATGTTTAAGTAATAAGACTTTCTGTGGAAGAAATGCCAGTAGACTGGGGAGGTAAAATCTACTCCTCCGACACAGGGCCAGGAGTCAGGGCTGCAGTAAATTGCATTCCATCTAGTTTCTGTTACCACAGGCTATGAGCTGGAACAGTGATTCCAGCTCCTCTGTACTAAATACACAGGTTTGGGGGCCACTAGATCTGTTGCCAGTACAGGTTGCATGACTTCTGTCCCCTTACCTGCCCAATCACAGATCTTTGAGATGGCCTAGGTGGGGACTATGCAGAGATGTGCAAGCAAGCCCCGTGGCAGTGCTTAAACTGGGATGAACACCTCATGCTGGTTCTACACTCCACAAGTGAACGTCACCCTCAAATAAGTCACAAATGCTTCAAAAATCTAAAGATGACCCCATTATATCTTGTTTACCTGCTAACACCAGTCAAGCTCATTGACTTCAACAGGAACATTATTGGGCCCTTACTTAGCTCAAGTATAGTTCTTTTAATCTCCAAAACTCATTTATGAATAGTAATTTGTTAATCCTCCCAAAAGACCTAGAGAGAGGTGGCAGGTTCTAGTTCATGATTATTACTCCCTGTTAGGTCGAGTTACTTTGATATGTTGACTTTTAACATTTACACCATAGTACGAACTTGTCAAAATGAATCAAACTTGAGGGTGTTCAGGGCAAGCTGGACACTTGGATTTAAGTAAAGAAAGACAAGAGACCATCACATAAGAAAATAATTCTTTTTCTCTAAATGACATTTCCAGTTAAACCCATTAACATGGGAGTTGGGACTTGACTGTAGAATCTTTATTCACTATGGTAAACAATCATATGAGTAGTCCCATTAAAGTTGAACTATTACATTAAAACAAAACAAACGTTTTAAATAGAAGAAATGTCCTACATACAGATATTTTATGTCTGTCATAATAGGGAGGAATACAATTACCTGTAATCACACTTTTTGTTAATTCACAATGTTCCATCAAAATCTAAAGAATGTTAGAGTCTACAGCAGTTAGATTGGCAAGTTTATCAGCTGCTACTGCTCTGGATTCATAATATATACTATTATATCCTGATTATGATTTTCTTCTTCTTTTCTAAGATTTGAGGTGAGAGATTTAACATCTCAAGTTACCAAAAGGATCTGTATTATCTAGTTTGAACAACAGAAGAAATACATCAAATACTGTAAATTATTGCTTAACAAAGAACAGTGACAGGTCTGATAAAAGAAATAGATTCCATTTTGATTGTTTGAAGAAACATTGCTATCATTTTATCCTGCAAACTCTTCTTATAATGCAGCAAAAATATTCTCTTTGAAAGTAAGGCTGAAATTCAACAGGAACTTTACTGTTTTATTCGTCCTATTTATTATTGCTAGGGGTAAGAAGATTGGACATGATGTCGATTTTCTGATCACCTGTCCAGGGCTAAGACAAGAGGAAGAAGTTTTACATAAAGTGATTGACTTATGGAAAAAGCAGGTATGAAGAAAATAATATTTGGATATTGTGATGGGGCAAGGCCAGATGGCTTTAGAAAAGTAGTGGGATATAGATATACCCAGGCTAAACCAATCCCTGGTACCAGGATAAGTTAAATGGCAGCTGCTCCAGGTCAATTAAGACACCTGGGGCCAATTAAGAATTTCCAGAAGGCAGGGAGAACGCTAGGTTGATTGGGACACCTGAAGCCAATCAGGGACTGGCTGAAACTAGTTAAAAGCCTCCCAGTTAGTCAGGTGGGTGTGGATGTCAGGAGCTGTGGAAGGAAGTTGTGCTGTTGGAGAGACTGAGCAGTACACACCATATCAGGCATAAGGAAGGAGGCCCTGAGGTAAGGGTGAAGTGTAGCTTGAGGAAGTGGAGGCTGCTGTGGGGAAGTAGCCCAGGGAATTGTATGGTCAGCTACCATAGCTAATACTATTAGGGTCCCTGGGCTGGAGCTTGGTGTAGAGGGTGGGCCTGGGCTCCCCCTTTTGCCCCCCCCCTGGATTAATCACTGAGACTGGAAGACAACAGAGACTGTGCAAGGGAGGATAGCTTCTCCTCCCCTCCCTTGCTGGCTTATGATGAAAATGGCTCAGTAGACTGTGACCCTTCTCTCTAGAGAGAGAAAAGGGTTACGTGGAGGGTCACAGTGAACCTCTGAGGCTAGCGAAATCTGCCAGGAAACGCTGGACCCACAGAGGCAAGGACAGAGCTTTGTCACAATATAAAAGAATTTTGTTAGCAGCACTGGATTCAGCACTGTAAGCTGATGTAGAGATAGGTGATGAGTGCCTTAGAAATCCTTATGATACTAATATTTAACTCTCCAGAAAGGATTTGAATATTAGATGGTGCAGGTGCCTCAAACTATTTTAGCTCAATAAATATGGTCCCTTGGGAATAATCAATCTGCTACTTCTCCTTACATTCACTGCTAGTAAAAATATCACTATAAATTTAATTTCTGTACTGTTCAAAGGGATTGATTACAAGTCAGGCACATTCTTTTTTGTCTTTCATATGAAATGTAATAGTATTTATATTTGGAGGACATATTGCTTTCAGAGTAACTTTTCTTGGCATTACATTAGAAATCATTTTGCTTCACGTAAAAGGACAACTCTCTTTGTGAGGTGAATTGTCAAAAGCCCAGAAGCTAAGTAAGATCAGCTTTCAGTTCAAGTGGTAGAGAGAGGATAATTTTAAATTAGTTCTGGAATTATATGTATTTTTCAGTGTGTTAATTAGGAACAGACATCAAATGATTCAGTGGTTTGGAAAAGCCTCCTAACAGATATCTGTGAAGGTGGTTCAGACCTTTTGAGCTGACCAAACACTATCCTACCAACTTTCTCAGTAGATCCTGGATCCTTCTCTATAGGTACACAACACAGCCCTAACTCCCTTCCTCCAGTCAGCTTCCAATCTCTGAAGAAATTCCAAGCCTTCCTTCTGAGTCCTGGGCTTCTACTTTAGTTATGCACAGTATACTTATTGGGACAGATCCTCAGCAGATGTAAATTGCCATAGCTCCATTGAAGTCCATGGAGGATCTGTGAGGATCCGTTAAGGATCTGTGCTGTTATTATTGAATGCATCCGATGAAGTGAGCTGTAACTCATGAAAGCTTATGCTCAAATAAATTTGTTAGTCTCTAAGGTGCCACAAGTACTCCTTTTCTTTTTGCGGATACAGACTAACATGGCTGCTACTCTGAAACCTGTTATTATTGATGTTTGTTTAAAGCTTCTTTCACAGGGACCCTACTCACTTTATACAGGGCAAAGTACACTGTCTTCTGGGCAGCTGTCTTTAGACTTCAAATGGGAGCCATGGGAGGGCTCTCCAGGACTATGTATCTAGTGCCAGATTGAAAAATGTGCCATGCCTCCAGCTGGGGTAAGAGTCTTCACACTGGGGAGTACAGCACTTCATCCCCCCCAAGGAAACTTCACATGGTACCTCCCTTATTCTCGTGGGAGCAATGCTTATAATCGCAGGAATCAGACAGTCACACAAGCAGGCAGTGCAGTTCACCTTGTGCTGCTCTATATAAACTAAGGGATAGGGAACTGAAAATAGAAAGCTGTTTAAAAAAGAGAGAGAGAGTTAAAACTAGGCAGATGAAGCACAGGGAGAAGAGAGAGAGGATGGTAAGTAAAGAAAGAAGAAGGGGTTGATAAATGGATCAGGCTTCAGTTGGAGAAGCCATGAGAGCACAGAAATGAAGGAAATGGCAGGTAGAGGTGGTGGTGGAGGGAGGGTGTAAATTGGCAAAAAAGCCAAGCCTAAATATACTGGGGATCAGTTTAAGAGATAGGCAGAGTCCCCTTCTCCTCCCCTGCAACAAAGAATCCCTGTTTATAGTATATAAATCTGCTGCTTGCACTGCTGTTTATGCTGCTTGAACTCAGTACTATGTCACTTCTAATATGCATCTTCCTACTGTCAATGCTGGAGAAATTGGCTGCCAACAAAATCAAAATGCAAAAACAAAGAGGAATTATACTCCTGCCTTTTTTATTACCTTAGATTTATTTTTTTTTTAAATTGTAAAGCGCTTTTATACTTTTTGACAGTAAACCTGTCTGCCTCCTTGCTGCTTCCCCACTTTTGTGCTACTGCTTCAAAGCTTAGATGCATCAAAGAACATCACTAAGGTCATGATGCTGACTTTCTTTCAACTGCTTTTAGTGAAGGATTCTGCAATGTTTAACTTGTAAACTATGGAAAAACTAATTTAAATAGTTTAGAAGGAGCTTTTTGTTAGTTGAAAAGTTTAGTGTTGGAGTGTCTTTCTACTGAAAGCTGATGGAAAAACTAAGTGGGTAAGTCAACAACACCATATTGCTCTTTGATGCATCAGCATCACGGATAAGTGGGTCTAGAAACAGAAGATATGTCTCCTCTGAGCTTCAAAATGGAATGGTAAAATGGAAAAGCTGCAATGCGGTAGACAAGTTATCTTTTAATAGTTCAGTAATGCTTTAAAAATGAAGTAAGTGTGCTTCAAAGGCCATGTAAAATAACTTCCCCTGTGAGCTGCAGTTTGGAAGTCTCTGGGCCAGTAGTTTCTTAGCCATATGTGTCAATACAACTTTTTAATGCATACAATGTAATGTTTTCTATTTTTATATTTCGTTAGAAGCATATCTAAATATATTTCTCTTTATGTTGTTAAATATATACCCCTGACATAGCAGAGATAATATTGCTGTGTGGATTTTAACTTTTGTATTCTCTCACTTAACATTTTTAACTGTACACTCTTAACACTGCATTAGCACAGCTTAGCATTAATTCCTTCTTGTTTTTTTGTTTTTGTTTAAAGAAAGACAAAGAATAATCAGCCTGTGCTGAATAATCTTAGTATTTAAGTGATCCAGATCAGACTCTGACATTCACACCTCATTGAGGGGAATGGACGGGAGAGGAGAGGTCTCATTGAGGTGAATGGCAGGGAGCTAAATGACAGGGCTAAGCTTGGTACTGGAGGCAGTTCTATGCAGATCTGATTTAAAAGGGCAGCAGCACATTTATTACCTGTGATGCCTTTATCCTGGCAATTAAGCCCTACTTAAAATTAATCTACAGAAGTGATAAATTTATTATTGTCCCAAACTTCTGCCATCCTGAATGTGATCATGCATTTACTCCAAAATGAGCACTTCTTTTGAAGTGCCAAAATTCAACCTGTTTAAAAAAAAAAACAACACACTTTTTTTTTAAAGTAGGAAAATTGTTCTACTTGTCCTCAAACTCCAACCTTCCACAAAATCCTCACTTGGTTTTGACAGTGCTGGAAATCTGTGTGATAAAATGTCTATGTTAATCTTCATTTAAAAATCTAAACCTGTAAATAAGGGCTAAAGAAATATACAGAATGTAGGTCAAAGAACTGGTGTTCGCAGAAAGCTGCAGATGCATTAATTTACACGGTGTAATGTAAATATGCTGTTTTAAACCAGCAATATCCAGAGCTCTACTAGATCTTCGTGGCTGACTGCACTCTTTAACAGTCTTTTTTTTTGTTAGTTTGTTTGAACCTAGAGAAGTGCTGTTTCAGCTGCATTTTATGGAGCAATGGCAATGTCCAGCACATAATCAAATTAAGTTAATCGGCAACATTATCCCAGTGGATTTATCCTGGGCCTTGATTCCTATTTAAAAGTGGCATTCTGGCTTTTAAATCAGATTTCAGCTGCTCGCTGAAGTCAGCACTTGTATAATTTGTTGTCTAATTCCCCCTTTTATTTATGCTAAAGTAGCTATTTGCAACATGGTACGTCTTTACATTTTCTTCCTTTTAACTCTTACAAATTGCCAAGCCATTTAACTATGGAAAAGCAATAAATCTATAGATGTATAATCCTGAAATGGCCTCGTAGTCACACTTACACTACCCAACACTACCTGTGGATACTTACTATATATTCACTGGAGGACATAGCCCAATCAACAACAGAAAAGGCCAGGGTGCTCCATAGCAGAGCTCCAATACTGAATTACAGCTCTACAATTGCATGATGGAAACCAAAGTGAGCTAAGAAATGTTTTCTTGAAATGCCTAACATGAAAATAGGGAGCAGAAGATCAGACAAGAAACATCCCTCCCTTAAATTACAGGCAGTAGCTGTACTCACAGGACATTTTCCGTCTTTCAAAACAGCTTGGGAGCTCTCTATTAGAGAGCTACTGGAAGTTCTTCCCAAGAAAATCAATAGGATAAAGTTAGAACTTGCATTTCAGAACCTAGAAAGCAAGGTTGAAACCCTAGCAAATATACTAACTATGATGGATAATAAATAGGAATGAATGGAAATTAAAACTAAATGAAAAAATATGGCAATGGAGGTCACTTCTAGAAAGAAAATGATGATGAAATGGGGGATATGGAATGATCACAGGACAAAACAACTTAAAAACCAAACTAGTGCCAAGAATTCTGGGCATGTGTCTGAGTGTTTTCAGGTTGTGGAAAGTGTCTCAGAAAATGGAATTACTGGTAGCTGGTCCTGATAGTTAAAGATGACCTGATGTGTATAGTGCATTGTTATAGTCTATAGGTCTTGCGCCATCTCCTTTCTGAAAACCCTGACAGGTATGGGCACTGTCCATCTCCTAAACTGACAGCTCTGTTTGGAATTTGTCAGGTAGGACTATACCCTAGACAATGCAGACCTATTCAATCTTCCCAGATGTAAGACCTATGGGGGTATGCACCAACAATCCCCACCTAGGAGTGACTACCTGACATCAACTCGAAAATGTTTGGGTTGGGGGGAGCACAGTAGCAAACATTGCCTCCTGATCAGAGGCATGCCTGTCTCTGATGATCTCCCTCTCATGATCTGCTAACAGCTCCCCAACAGCTACGCATCCCAGTCAATAAGAGTTGGTCTGCTGGGCTTCATGTTGTCAATATGCTGGGATTTGGTCTCTGGTGTACAGTACCATGATAGCTGTAACAACTATATAGGTGTGAGTTTATGTAAGACTATCTATCTGGAAATTCTGAATTTCTAGCAAAATCAAAGACAGTAAGCAGTGCTTTCTTTTTTAGGGCTTGCTTTTATACTATGATCTCATTGAATCAACACTTGAGCAGGCAAAACTACCAAGCAGAAAAGTTGATGCTTTTGATCACTTCCAGAAATGCTTTGCAATTTTAAAATTACATCAGCAAAGAGTGGACACCAGCAGCTGTGATACATCAGAAGAATCTGATAAGGCAGAAGTCAAAGACTGGAAGGCAATCCGTGTGGATCTGGTTGTAAGCCCCTTTGAACAATATGCATATGCTCTGTTAGGTTGGACTGGCTCCAGGGTAAGTAACTTCAAGAGCCTACATTTTTTTTTCTTTGAGCTACTAACCTATTTTTGTTGTTGCTGGACTATTCACGGTTGGTTTACTTATAAAAATGTTCCTTTCTTCATATTTTTCTATTATCTTCTTCTTAACCCTGTCATTAAGCAACCCATTATCCTAGCTTATGGTGACAGAGGCATCACTGGCATTTATATATTATTTGTCTGCTAAAAGAGTTAACATCTATTTTCCATGAAGTTTAATTTCTAGGAATCATAAGCCCAATCTTTGGTGCACCTACAACCCCTTCTGCCACTGCAGCACTACAAAGGGTTTAGCTGGCCATCTGGACAAAGGGAAATTCCCCAGGTGGCAAAGACTTTAGGGTTTAATAAGTATTTTATAACTTTAAAATAAAATAATATTGGTACTGGTCGTTGATCTTGTGATTGATAGTTACTTTGCTAATTGGTAGCTGGTACTGTAATTGGTGGTATAATCGGTATAATATTAAAAAATACAAAAATAATGAAATAAAATCAATATAATTTTCAAAATGAAAGTCAATTTCAAAACTAAAAATCAAAATGTTACATTCTAAAAAGGTTTCCAAATATTTCATTTAGACTTTTTTTAATGAAATTTTGCCAAAATCAACACATTCCAACACAGTGTCATTTTCTGATGGAAAAGTGTTCCATTGGAAAGCATTTGACTAACTCTGCTCTACATCACTGACCTCTGATGCCACTTATATGAGCGTAAATAGCCCTATTCAGGATGTGGGGATGGGGAGACATATCAGGGAGCTGCGTATAAAATCAATTTGCAGGGCTGGCCTCAGCCTCTACATGATTTAGAGCAGCTATTGGACTTCTCTAAGTGCCACTGATATAAGGTTCTTAATGGTCCTCAAATGAAGCTCCACTGCTCCCCAACCCCTCCCTATCTCTGACAGGCTCTGGCCTCCCTCCCATTACACCTCTTATGCCAGGCCAGTAGTGGAGACGCACTAGTACAGGAGCCAGCTGTAGTACACTTGTATCAGCAAGGAGTTTCCCTCTGACAGATGAATTATGTGCTGGGCTTTTGTGGCCCCATTATGGCTCCTATGGATGGCAGCAGTGAAAAAGGGCTGTAACACAGGAGGCAGTCTGGTTCAATGGCCCCAATTCACCATTATATTATATCAGTTTTACTTCTGTAGCTGTGTCCATGCAGGAAATGCTAAGCAGGGTTAAGAGTGTTCAGGAATTCTGTAGTGAGATGTGCTGTGCTAACTTACTTCTGTCTAGTAGAAATTCAATGCAGAGATTATTTTACCATAGAAAATACCTACTTTTCCCTTCCATGGTCAACATTTTTAACTCAAAAGCCTATTTTGCTCCTATGTAAAACATAAAAAGAAATTCAGTTCTTTAGTAAAGAAAGAGAAGACTGACTGATGGATTCCCCTTCAGTTAATCATTTTACAAACCTTTTCAGAAAAGGCAATTGAAACATCAAGTTATTTCCCTTGCCTACTTGTAAATCCTATTTCTAATCTCTTAACCCCCTTTATGCAATCTTTGAGATCTTAAATTAACCCTCTGTTTTGGGTTCATAGATTGTATTTCATAGATTCCAGGGCCAGAAGGAACCAGTGTGATTAAATAGTCTGACCTCCAGTATAAGACAGGACATAGAACATCCCCAAAATAATTCCTAGAGCAGATCTTAAAAAAAAAAAAAAAAGACGACTTTATTTAAGAATTGTAAATGATGGAGAATCCACCATGACCCTTGGTAAATTGCTCCAGTGGTTAATTACCCTGTCTATTAAAAATGTATGCATCATTTACAGTCTGAATTTGTCTTGCTTAAACTTCTAGCCATTGGATCATGTTATACCTTTCTCTACTTAACTGAAAAGCTCATTATTAACTATTTGTCCCCCATGTAAATACTTATAGACTGTAATCAAGTCACCCCTTAACCTTGTTTTTCTGAACTTGTCAGGTCCTGCAGACTCAGACTCCCTCCTACTCTGGGAGTATTTGCCATGTGGAAGGGGTCTCTTCCCCTCCCTCCCCAGGGATCACACTCCTACACCACATTGCACCAAATTTGTGCCTTTGTCAATCACCATGTACGCCCTTAGGCAGGTACCCAGTGCTATCTAAGTGTTTCTACATGACTGAAAGCCTAAAATAACCAAACCTTTCTTGATTTAGAACAGGGGTGGCCAACTGGAGCCTGAGAAGGAGCCAGAATTTACCAATGTACATTGCCAAAGAGCCACAGTACTACGTAGGCAGCTCCCCCCTCCCCCACTCCCAGTGCCTCCCACCTCCCGGCAGCTCAGCCGATCAGCGCCTCCCCCTCTCCCCGCACCTCCTGATCAGCTGTTTTGTGGCGTGTAGGAGGCTTTGCGGGGGAGGGGGGAGAAGCAAGGTCACGGCAGACTCAGGGGAGGGGGCAGGAAGGGGTGAAGTGGGGGCAGGGCCTGTGGCAGAGTCAGGGGTTGAGCAGTGAGCACCCCCCAGCACACTGGAAAGTTGGCACCTGTAGCTCCAGCCCTGGAATCAGTGCCTATACAAGGAGCCACATATTAACTTCGGAAGAGCTGCATGTGGCTCCAGAGCCACAGGTTGGCCACCCCTGATTTAGAAAAATGGGGTGATTAGCAAGCAAACTGTGGGAGTCCTGTATATGCTTAATTTAAACTATTTCTTGTTACAATGCTATACCATCAGTAAGGTAACTAGTATCAGGCAAAGTTAATATGATGTAGTATTGTATGTCAAAATAATATCCCTGTGAGTGTTCATTCATTATGGGACTACCATGAGACTTAAGTTAGATCCATTAAATGAAACTGGTAATGTACAAATGAATGCCAGTTCATATTTCTGCATGTTATATGTACAATAACATTGACCTGACAAACTTCCTTATAAATGGTGAGTAGGCTTTTTCATACACACACATTTTTAAAGTAGTTTTAAATGGATCTAACTTACCTGGTGCTTCAGTTGGTGAGAATATAAGTCTTTGTGCAGCCTCTGAAAACATTCATTTTATGAAGGTCTTGTTTAGCTGTACTGAAGCTGTCTAGAATATGTCTCTTAGCAGAAGATGGTTGTTAATCATGCCTTTTTAAAATCCATTCATTTATAATTTGGATTGGTATTCTAATGCTTATACATATTAAGCAACAAAGTGAGTACTCAATTTGGTTTGGTATAGTAGTGTGTAACTTGTTGTGTATTGTACAGCAATTTGAGCGTGACCTACGAAGATATGCCACTCATGAAAGGAAGATGATGTTGGATAACCATGCCTTATATGATAAGACAAAGGTACAGTTTGCTCTTTGAAATGAAGCTACAGTGTGATAGTTGATAAGGATATATCTTCAGTTTGTTTGTGCTACCCAAGTGCAGAGTATTTCAGCTTGCATATACCCATTATTAGAAGAATAAAAAGTCCCCTTTCCACAAAACCTTCTTTCTTATTCATTGCCACTTAAACATAAAGGTTCCTTGGCTATGGCCAAATTGTGCATGGCTCAGTTCAAGATTGCGGGATATTCAGAGGTGGCTTTAAGCACATTTGCATTTTTCTGATCCTGGGCCACTCTCCTGTCACAAGTTAGAGCAGCCTTAAAGCTGCTTTAACTTGTATAGGCTTCTCTATGCCCCCAAAAGCACATATACCAGCTAAGGATCACAGTGGAGGCCCCGAGCAATACCTCCTCTTCCCTGCTATGCCCCTCTAATACGAATCAAAGTGGATGTCTGGAGCCAAAGTCACTATAGTAGGTGCTCTACTCCAGTGGAGGAGCTCTCAGGTTCAGTGCCACTTTCCAACAGTGCTGTGACACAAAGCAGACACAGCGCAGACCAGAATAAAAATAATTTCTTCTGATTGTTCTGCATGTAGTGTGTGTGTGGGATGGGGAGGGTGGAAGGACCATGCAGAGTCAAGCTAATTATGCATCTCTCTATTTTTGATTAACATCAAACCAACAAAATCCCTTTCTTTGAAAACACTTGCCTATGATTTTTTTAAAACTCATACAATATTGCAAATATACCCTGTAGCAAATATACTGTGATTTCTAATTAAACACAAGAGTGCTTAGAAGAGACTGAGACCATTTGAATCATTTTTGTTATAAAAGGCAGTACTTTCCCACACTATTCTGCATACTGTTAGATTGCTGCTTTTTATTTTTTGTATATGAATATTCGTGATCACTTTGGCACTGGAGGTTTTATTGTGGCCCATTGCCTGAAATGTGATGCATGTCAAAGAATCCTATTTTTCAATATCAAGGGGTTATGTCAGGGGAGAACCCAGGATACTTTAATATATTTCCAAAGAGACTTTGACAGGAAAAGGCAGCATTAACACACCAGTTGTGAATCAATTACATAGCTTTGCAGATGGGAACAAAAAGTAGAGATATTTCCTCCAGGGATTTATTACAAAGTTACACTGTGAAATTATTCCTCAGCCTTGATTTTTCAAGTGTATGCATGTACATAATCTAGGAATCATTGTATATGTCTATTGGGAGATATCGTATAATTATAAAATTACTGTATTTTTTGAGTTCTGCAAATTTTTTGGTGGCGTTTCATTAATCTTTCGTAGATATGAGAGATTCCCAAATTGAAAAATGAGAATTCCATGCAACTTTACTGACAACCCTCCTCTGTAGGATCAGGGAAAAAAAGCTATGGAAGGGAAGAAGATTTTAAAATGCTAGCCTAGAAAGAAGATGAGCGAATATTCAAATCCCCCAATTAAACCATATATAGGGACAGATCCTAAATGGACTTAACTTCATTGACTTCTATACTCCACTTTGATTTCTGGAGTGACAGCAATTTACACTAGTGGAGAATTGAGCTTACAATGTTGAGGTTCCATTGTCATCCTGAGGGAAGCAAGAGTTTCTTTGGCGCACAACCAGGGAGGACAAGATATAACATATGCTCAAAGTCTTACAATATATCTACTGTTGCTGCATGAGTTACAAATTGTACACACAGTTATAAACTGGGCCGATAACAGTTTAGGTTGAAATGAGCTTGGTAAAATGTGGTATTGTTGGATTTTTGCATTCTCCAGTAAAATGGGTGACTGGCACTGGCAATGCTGTGCTTACTTAAAACCACCCCTACAGATAGGTGCGTCAGTTGTAAAGTCCTGTATGCCTATGATTGATGTCTTTTCTGCTTATCTTCTCTCTGCCATCATAGCTTCATCTTTAACCTTTAACTTCCTTGTTAAATTGCAGATGCTTATATATATACCTTTCTGATATCTTTAATGACTGCCGTCTATCTGTACTGATCTGGTAAACGCGTAATTTTATCTCATGTTTCTATAGCTTGGTGCTATTTTTGATCTATGGGTATGTCTACAGTGGAACTGGAAGTGTAATTTCCAGTTCGGGTAGACATACCTGTGCTAGTTCTTATTGAGCTAATGTGCTAAAAATAGCAGTGTAGCTGAGGCTGCGTGAGTGGCAGGTCAGGCTATCCATGCTGAGTACAATCCCGTCTGAAATCCTACATATGTACCTGGGGCATGCCAACAAACCTTTATGTTTAAGTGGCAATGAATATGAAAGTAGCTGTTGTAGAAAATGGACTTTTTATTTTTTAAATAATGGGCATCTGCAAGCCCCCTTCTGACTGAGTGAGTGTGGCATTGCGGGAGCTCCCTGCCTCAACTTCCCCTCACCTGGGTTTTGTCTCACCTGGAGATTTACATGGAATCTGCAGCTGCAGCACTCTGAGTTCAATCCCCTTTAGTGGTCACAAAAGTCCAAATAAAACCAAAAATGCTTTTGCTGCACTTCAGCTCAACTTTGGGGCTCAGTTTCCAATCCCTTAGGGATTATTTTTCAGTCTATCTGTGGCTCTGGGATAGAGCCCTGACTCCTGGGCTCCTTTTCTGGAGCCCCCTCTCAGTCTGCTGCAGATCCTTGCTCAGGGTCCTCCACAGAACCCTGACAGCTCTCTGGGGTTCCCCTCTCAAAGTGACTTTCCTCAGCCCTTTTTAAAGAAATTGGCCTGTTTCTCAGAACCAGTTTGTGGAGGAGGGAAAGTAGGTAATCTGACACAGGTATGGCTGAGCACAAGTACCCTGAATGGGCAAACCAAAATGTGATAGGGCGGGTAGGCTGTCCTGCTGCCTGTCAAGCTGTGGCTACAATGCTATTTTTAGTGTATTAGCCAGTGGTGTTGGAACAAATTGTATAGTGGGGATGCTGAAAGCCACTGAACAAAACTGTAAACCCTGTGTATGATGGAAACCACTTCAAGCCAGAGGGTGCTGCCACACCCCCACCACCCTTAGTTCCAGAACCCTTGGTGTTAGCTCAATCAGAGCTAGTTCAGGGATGTCTGCCTGAGCTGGAAATTACACCTCTAGGTCCACTGTAGACATACTCTAAGAAATGCTTCTCTTGGACAAAAGGGCCATCCTCAAGAACAGCTCCATCTTCTCTCTCTGCTGGAGTCCTAACTTCATTGCCTCCGATGTCTATAACTCTAGTATTATCTATAACACTCAATTCTTTCTCCTCCTCATATCTTTCATATCTTCAAATCTCTACCTCCTTGTTTATCTCATGTCTCTGTCACCTTAACAATACTGCTTTGGCTTTATTTCTCTTGGTAATTCTCTTCCATGCCTTCATTTCCATTCACCTTGACTTCTGCATCTCATAAAGGCTCAGTTCTGTAGACTCCAGCATGAGCACAAGGCTGCTGTCTACCTTCTCATATATAATAATAATACTACTGCTGTCACTGAAAATGAGTGTTGATTGGCTGGAGTTTAGTGGGAGCAGGGTTGAAGAGCTATAATGCTTGCCTCAGCTTTGGAAGAATTGGTCTGGCCTGGGAGTTTAGTTTAGTTAGAGGACTGCTCCAGTTTTTGAAGACTTAGTCAGCCTGGGATTAAAGTTAGCTTGGAAGCCTGGCCTAAACAAGGGCCTACTCTATCCTTGAAAGACTGAGTTGAGCCTGGACACCTGGCAGAGAGCCGCACCAGCTTAGAAGATTTTGTTGAATCTGGACAAAGTCTTGTTCTAACTCTGGGAGCATTTACACTAGTTGGGAGCTACATTATTATGAAGTTGCTATAGGAACTTTTTATAACTTATTTCAGTTTTGCTAGGACCTAAAAGTAAAAATATATTTTTCTTATATATTTAATGCTCCAGAGTCTTTTCCTGTCCCTTTTCCCCTTATGGTAGCTGGTTCTAAAATCCACAATTCACACTTGTCAGACTATTGTGTGATATAATGCTACTCCACTAACTCCCCCTTCATTTTAAGATCCAATTTAAAGCCTCCTTACGTGTGTTTTTAAACCAGTTCAAGGACTTGTTTCACCCTGCTTCTGCTTCCTCCACTAAGTAGCTTCCTCTGTGTACTGCCTTATCATGTGATCATTGGGGTGCAAGGGCCTTCCCCATTGTTTCTACTCTTGGCTGACGTGTATGATTGTTTTAGATGATGACACATTTCTGTTATTAGTATCTGATATATGTTCGTACTCATGGCTGTGGCTACAGCTAGAGGTGTGATTTCCCCTGCTCATGTACACGTGCTTGCAGTAGCTCGATGAGGGCAAGCATGCATATAAATAGCCGTGTAGCCGCAGTAGCATGTGTAGCACTAGTGGAGCTAAGCCGGGCCAAGTGTAAACCCACATAAAGCCAGTGGACAAGTACTTGATATGTCTCAGCCGTGCCTCTGCTGCCCCTACCCGTGTTACCACAGCTACAGTGCTATTTATAGTCATGCTAGCTCTCATCGAGCTATGGCAAGTAGGTGTACGTGAGCGGGGGAATCACACGCCTAGCTTGTAGTGTGGAAATAGCCTGTGTATGTATGTGGCCACAGATAGTTACTTTACCTGTAGGCAATCCTGTTTTCATTCTTATGTGAAGGAAATATAGTATAGAAAATCTTAAGTACTTACAGAAAGGCTTATACGTTTAGGCACAATCAACAAGAAAATTTGTGCAAAGGATGCTCTTCTGCTGAAAAAAAAGGATGCCATGTGTATTACTTTTTTGAGTCCTAAGGACTGTGTCATAAACTTTGGAAACATCACCAGAAATGCACAGCAAAACAACTTACAACCTCGTGCCCATATGTGGAAGATTTTGCAGATAATGCTACTATGCTGGTCAGCAAAGAAAGCAAAGAGAGAACAGTTGTTGACATGTGGGGAGGGCTTTCATATGCAGCCTGGCAAAATCTCCGGAGATCAACTTTACTTTCTCCTGCTTTCATTCTGCACTAAATTAATCATTGCTCTGTACACG